TGGGAATGCGGTGGCGTGGTGTACACCCCCGAACAAAAGTCTTCCCCCCTCGGATTTCAAACACCATACGGGCTAGAAGTCTGAAAGTTTGTGTGCACATAGTCCGCTAGAAACGTAGGTCAGCGATACTATCCGCTCCCCGATTGCTTGATGTGAAACGGAGTTATGATAGATGATGTCTATTTTTTTTGAGCTTCATAATTCTAGAAGGAAAAGATGTTATGGGTCATCAAACGCATTATTATGTAGCGCTATGTGCTAGCTATCTTTTATACAAATTTCGTGGACGTGCGTCAACCCACTCAAGGACTGTGGTCATATTACTGCAGCTGTCTGTGTGCAAAAAACCATCTATTATCCTCTAAAGATGTATAATCTAATATAATTCAGTGAATCAACCTGAAACTTTCAGAGAACTTTTCTCCATAGATTGGCATTGTTATCTGCAAGTTTCAGAATTACATGTTGTCCTAGAGAGAAATAGCACACTAATGATCATCGTCTTTGCGTCAAGTATTCGGAGACAGCAATATTCGAGCAAATGGATGTATCTTTTGGATGAAGAAAGAGCATAGATTCAGCTTTAGTTTTATGTAAAAAACATTTAGAATCAATCATGTATTTGATAAGAAATAGGACAAAATTTATTAGGTAGCCTATTTACGTTACGAAGCTTAGAGCAAAAAATAGATGCCATCCATCATAATTCCGTTTCACCTCAGGCAATTGGGGCGCAGAGGGTGCCGCTGACTTACGTTCCCGATGAAGTGTACGTGCACATAAACTTTCAGACCTCTAGCTCGGATGGTGGCTGAAATCCGAGAGGGGAAAGACTTTTGTTCGGGGGTGTAGCAGACAGCGACAACGCCTTTCTTAAACAGATCTGTGTAGGAAAAATGGAATCGGTGAGCAAAATTTATGACAATAACATAATATTTATTATGACATTGGTCTACCACATTTCTCATCTTTGGGCTTTCCGTTTTTGATGAGTTAGATTAATTTTTCCATGTTTACATGGATCAACTGAGTTCCTTTTGTATTCTGTTAAAGTTGAGTAGATTGTTTTAGATTCTAGAGAACTCTACGATTTTTATAATTCACTAGAAATTACAGAGATTTTCTTTTCATCTACTGATCTTCTGCAACAGAAAACTTATTATAAAGGTCGTTCTAAAATTGAATTGAAGCAAGAATGATATAAAGACTCCTTTCAATCATGGCTTTTCATTTAAAAATGGCGATTAACAATAGCTGTAAAATATTTACAAATTTCAATTGTTTTAAAGAAAACATAAATAAAAAACAACTTGTTTTTTACTTTAAATCTTCAGTACTTTTAATATTTTTATTGTGATCTATTACGATTTGTTGTTTCCTCTATAGAATATTTTACATCATAATTAAATCGAATACCTTTATATTTAATTAATAAATATTGATATACTAAAAGTTTAAGAATAAGAATGAAAACTGGGCATTGCATGTGATTAACACGTGCCGAGAAAGTTGTTTTTAGAGTACGTTACTCATACAGATAATACGCGAGAGGAGAACGAATGCATATGATCTGATTTTGTTTATTATTTTTTCTTGAAAGGGCAATAAGAGCAGATTTTCTCCTCAAAATCTTTTTGAAAAAAATATCAACTGAGGAATAAAATATTGATTTTTATAGAAGAAAACAATACAAACAGAAGGGTAAACGAATAACGAGTTAGAAATGACTGATGAGCAATATGAAAGTAGAACTATTTATATCGAACTGACGGATCATTATTAGTCATAGTTCGATCATCAGATGACATCCTTTAATATCTGTATTCAATGATAGTAAAATCAAAACATTTCTAAATGTTAAACAACTTAGAAAACTCAACGAAAACTCTCACCAATTGATATATATCGTTTAGTTTTGAATTTTATATTACGTCACATTTTACTCTGTTGCTTTCTGTAGTCATGTAAACAATGAACATTTTCCTCACTCTATTCAAACGCCTTTGAAAAAGAAAATAAATCTACTCTTTTTGAATTTTGTGGTAAAATGATTATGTTTTCTGATTTAGTTTTGCCATTCGATGAACACTATTAAATGAAAACTAGCTTCTATTTATTTTGATAAAATCTTTTGTAAAATTTCGTCTTTCATTCAAACATTTTTCTCACATGTTTCGTACAAAAGACAGGAAAAAAGGAATCGTTTTCTTCTAATATTTTGTTATTCTTATCAATGAATAAAAGATATTATTTACTATTTGACTTCAACCAGTTACTAAAAATAACCAAAAAGAAAAAAAAGAAAATGTATTTCGTACGCATTATATATTGATGCTGACTTATTTTATACATTTTCTGTTCTTATTATCCTATGATACATGAACCACAAAAGGATGCATAGAATTATTTCTGTATGTAACGAAAGAATAACGTATATTTTGAAATTTTTATCGGCTATCTTTCGCAAAAAATTTCAAGTCAAAGAATGAAAAAAACAAATCGAAATTATTCAACATTTTTTTTGTAAATTTACATATCAAAAATAATTTGTATTTTTGATAATAACTTCTTTGTCCTTCGGTAATTGAATTTTACCGTTTAATTTATTCTCGAACTCATTTCTCGATCAGTATTTAATTGTTCTTCTTAAAAACTATATTTATATAAAGTTTACTTTTATTTTTTAGTATAAAAAACAAAGAAATCTTAAAGTTTAAACATTCATTATATAAATCATTCGATAATCGTATGCTTGAATAAAATGAACATGTTTTAGATTAGTCAGTTTTTAATATCGCATTACTTTTTACAAATTCGATAATTTTTTTATCTCTCTTCTTCATAATCATTAGTGATTTTAATTGATTTGTTATTCGTATTTGGACATTACTACTACCAATTTTATTTGGATTTAAACGAAATTCTCTTGTACCAGTTGTTAATGTATTATATTTTAACCATAATAAAATTGGTGATGAGATTTTATTTTTATCACGACATTTTTTATATTCTTCATTAGATCCTTGTAATTTTGTATCAAATTTCAAACATATATCTTTAACAATTTGTTTTAATCGATCTTTATTGTCTATTTTATCATCGTCTACTTCCATGGATAAAACTTAAGATGATTTATCAATAAAAAATGAATATTGTGGTGAGACAGAAGTAAATTCTTTTTCATATTCAGGTAATATTGAATTTATTATTTGACGTAATTCAATTTCAGTTACATGTTCACTTGAAATTGATAAATATTGACCACGTCTAAATGAGAAAAAAAAATCTTCAATCTTCATCATAGGTCATACATACATAGATCTATATTAAACTAGAATTCGCATCGGGTTTGGATCTTAAAAATTTTAGATTCGATGATATCTATTGCAGATAATGAACTTTCCTTATAAGATAACGATAAAACGAATGTGAAAGTTGCAGTATCGATGTATTTTAGAGAAACTAATAAACCTTCCAATAATTTTCCATGTTGGTAATTTATAATAATGTCCTATTACTTTAATAATATCTTGTGTTCTGTAACGATATAAACCATTATATGTTGTGTATACAACTTCATAACGTTTACCTTCTATAAAAGAAAAAAGAAAATTATCAAAATAAAAAAATCGATTATCGTTTTCTTACCTTCAAGTTATGATGATATGGAAAAAAATTATGAACAGACACAAGAGAATCAATAAAGTATTTGATATAATTGGTAGAAGAAAACCAAAGAAAAACAAACGACAGAAGCTGTTCAATTTTGTAAGAAAGTGGAGTTATCCACACTAAACTTATATGTCTATTTGAATTAGTTAGAATAATTTAGGAAGAAATGAATTTGAATTTATTTATGTAAACAATAATCGTTTAGCAACCATCTAAACAAATTAAGTCACTATGGTCATAGGAAAATGACCAGTTCTAATAAGAGTTTCCAAAGAAAATGAACGATAATTGTTTCAGTTCAATTGTTAAATATCTGTATATAAGGTTAGTTTTGATGTCAAATAAAAAATCACATCATTCAGATTGTTAGAGATCAATAATTAATTTTTAATCCATTAATATAGTCGCAATCAATTAATACTTATGTTGATTTTTGACGTAAATTCTCCTTTAAAATTCTTCTTTTAAGGCCTCCCCTTCAAAAATCGATCTCTGCCCAGGTACGTTCAAATGGGCTGGAATTTGGAGCATATGTTGGGGCTGAAGTGAGGAGGCTGTGGTAAAATTTTCAGCTCGATTTACTGACGTTTAACAGAGATATGAACCAAACAAGGGTCAAAAATAGCTCATTTTGGTACAAAGATTTCTCAGTCCGGATCCGTCCAACATATTTTAATTTTTTTTGTTAGATAGAGTATGTCAGGATGCAGAGCACTACGGAGTCCTTTTTTTTAGATTCTTACTTTTTTAGCGGAGAAAGGAGATCACAAATCCAATGACTCAAAAAACACGCCAGAAATGGGTGTCCAGTCCCATAAGTGTCTGTATATATAATAAAAAACAAAGCTTAATTAAAAAAAGGACTCCGTAGTGACCTGCATCTCGACGCGCTCTTTCAAACAAAAAAAAATTTAAATATATTGCCCGAGCCGGGACTGAGAATTCCTTGTCCCAAAATCAAAAAATCACAAATCGAGAAAAAACGAAAAACATTTTTTGATTTTTCAAAAAACAGCTGGTTTTTCGAATAGGGGGTGACGAAAATCTTCGAAAATTTTGGACAAAGATGAGGTATTGAGGAAAAATTTTTATCAGTTATGAAAGAGCAGATCACGGGCTATCTTCCCATGCTGTTATCTCAATTTCGAAAAATTTGACGAAAATTGACTTTTTTTGAGGGGGGACGGGCCTTAAGTTCAATATCAATGACACTCGAAAAGTTGACTTACTGTTCCAGAAAATAACTATTTCTCATGTAGCATAATTTTGAATTATTTCGACACCATATTCATATTCAACTGAGGCACATCTATTATAGTTCATATTTAGAAATGCTCTTTAACACAAACTGACCTTGAAAGTTTTGCCGAAAGCTGTGTGGAAAAAGGAAAATATCCATAGTAAATGTTTGATCTCCCTCAAATGCCTAGATGTGCGGCGATCTCGATGCCAAATAATCAATATCAATAAATTCAATAAATATTATCTCGATACTTTGTACTAGAGTGAGACAAGCAAATAAATATAATATAAAGATGTATGCTGTATAACTATAACACTCAGCTCAATATACAACATCAAAACTTAGAGACTCGCAAGCATATGACTACAATTCACTACTCTATAATTCTTTGTAACAATAATTAAAATATATACAAGCACATCAGAATAATGATCGTGAACAAAGGATACAAGAAGAGAGAGAGAGAGAAAAACAGCGTGAAAGACACGCAATAATTAAAAATGAGAAGATGACAATATAGTGTGACGACACATCGTGCCGTCAGACTACCCCTCTCCTCCCGTCCCCTTCTCCTGTTATCTAGACATTCTGTATGGATGACCCTTACAAGAAGTTTCAGACACTAAGAACAAGAGAAATACGAATTTGAATTGCTTATCATTGTCTTGTTTAATAACAAATATCATCTATCGTTCCGTCTTTCTGACTAAATTCATGTTAATAGCGACTAAATATATTCAAAAATAAACGAAAGAAAATTTTATTTTGTCAATATTAGAGACATAATCATATAGAATTTTACAAATGACTAGAATAGCAAAAAAAAATTGTTTAACTGCTTACATAGTCTGATACTGAGTATACAATGATTTTACTTGCAAACAGAAAAGTGCGCACTAGTAAACGATGCTTTTGGTTGATTTATTTCTATATTCTATATGACGAAGAAAATTGGCAAATGTGTTTTTTTACTTGTTTTTTTTTGTCGTTCGTTCTCATCATATTCATAGAACAATAGCAAAAGCAAGAACCGAATTGTTTTCTTACATACATTTTCTCTTTTCTATGTTATCTCACTCTTTTCTCCCACGTTGTATGGGTATTATTATGGTACTGTCTATAGTGACTTGTAATGAAGCAATAGTAGTGTTTATTGAAAATTATATGAATATATTACTAGATTCGTTGCTAGACTATGCTCGTCTGTATAAGTGCACTTTAAATTTATGCGTCATTAAAAAACATATCAATTTGATTTATGATGTCAATTATAATCGAATATATATATACATATGTTGGATACTGCAGTATAAATCGGTTTATTTAAACTTCATTTTGAAATTTTTTTGATCATTTAGTGATAAGTTTTATTGAATTGAATTATTCATGATTAATGATCTGTTGATAGAGATAATATTTTACATGATACTTGTAATTGTTAATGATAACATTTTTCTTAGTACATTAATCATCATTGTTTTGACAAAGTAACAATGTATTATATTTGTGCATATGAGAACAATGGAAAGTGATAATTTTATAATTTGAATAAAATCTTGTTTGATAGTAGTTATTTTCACTTACTAAAGAGTTCGTTATCTGTTTTCTCGAAAATTGCTGAATTTTTTTAATGTTTTTTTTTCTATTTTGCGGAAAATGTTATACACATCTGAATTTTGAATATATAGGAAGAAATAGTTGTACAGTTTTTTTGTATTTTTATAAAAGATTATCTGTTTGTTGAATATATATCGATTTATATGAACAGTTTAATTTGAATTTCTTAACATGTTTATAATCATTGCTATTTTGTTCATGTAAGCATACATCCAAAATGTTCTTGTACTATCAGCAAACCTTTCATACATTATATGACTGAAACATAACAACGAGCATCATATATCGTATATGAATATTTTACAAAAACTGTATGTGTTATACTAATCAGTAAAACCTATTTTAGGCTAAAATCATTCCATTTTCGCCGATTTCAACATCACCGAATGAATTCATAACCGAAAACGAGTCTGGATTAAATTTGATAGGTTCTAAATATATAACATTGTATATTAATTAACTAGTTCATTACCAAATTGATTAATTGCTATCGTAGTTGAGGGTGACTGAAGGTACTGGTGGAGATGAAACGAAGATCCGTACTTACACTTATATTGAACTCAGATGATAGTCAGTCGATTTGATAATGAACTAGTTAATTAAAATAAAGTATTATATATAGAACCGATTAGATTTGACCCAGACTCATTTGCGGTTATGTATTCATTCGATGATATTGGTATCAGCGCACATGGAGATTACCTTTAGGCTTAACTATAATTGTTAAAAAATCAGTTGAAGCATGATATTGCTTATTTATTTAACAAATATAATAACATCAAAATGTCTTGGGTTTGACTAGACTCTTCTATCAATTCAAAAGAAAAGGAGAAAATTGTATATTTTCAAATCAATGAGCTTTCACATCTTAACAGTTAAATATTCTGCGACGGATTGGCACTCACTTTTTTTGTATTGCCTGTATTGGCATACATAACAGATAGTCGAATAGAGAATAAGAAGTGTTAAACTCGTCAAAAGTCGCGCACTTTCATAATACTTCGGAAGAAGACAGTATTCTCGAGAGTTTTTACAAATGACAAGAGCTAAGAAATTGGCACACAGTCAAAGACAGTCTGTCTGACAGAAAGTGACTGAGAACAGCTACCTTCTCAAATTTCGTAGACAGTTTGTCAACAACAGCTCACAATTACTGTAGACGGAAGTTACAAAAAAAAGACAGGGAAACGGCACAGCCTAGCTCACCCCAATCCCTTTCACATTGAGATCTATGAGAAGACATTTTTATAGTCTCATACTACCTCTTTGTATAAATAGATCGTACTAGGACCATTGTAAATTACACTAATTTATTTCTTTTCAAGTTTTATTCAGCACGACAAATAGCCCAAAATGTGAATAAAAAAAAATTTTGATATTATGTTTCCAATGTTATATTAACAAAAAAATGATACAAAAAGGTAACAACAATTGATACATTAATACTTTGTTATTATATGCAGCATCATTGCTTAATTCTATTGAATCTTCAGATGAAATATTCTTGGCTAACTCTATCCACCCTTAATACGCAGCAACTCGTGTATACATTCCCGAATATGCAGCTCGTGCACAACCAATACCACTACTCGTCAGACCGACCAATACCCATTGATTACTTTCATTAAACATCATCAATGGACCACCTGAATCACCTTGACAAGTATCTACAAGAAAATGAAAATAAAAGGCACATGCATCAAGAGAGAGAGAGACAATCAAATAAAGCTACCTTTGCTACCACCTGGTACACTAGCACAAAATTGTACATGCCAATCAGTCATCGTTTGATTACAAGTCGATGCTCGGTAGTCTACTGTTTGCATGGTAACTTGCTGAAGTGTTGATGGTAATGAACCCCCTTCACTCAATCTACCCCATCCAACAGCTACAACCCAATAAAAAATATTCCAGATCAATTTTGAAGACGAGAAGACACTTACATTTGTTCCAACTGATGGCCATTCACCAGCTGATAATGTTGTCTGACTAACTGATGGTAAACAAATTGAACTCACATAAGGATTACTCATATTCAATGGAGAGGCAAGTTTCAATAGAGCGATATCATTCTCATAAGTTGCCGGGTTGTATCCTGAATGTAAAATAATTCTTGAGACATTTCGAGTTTGAGTGCCATACCATTGAGTATTTGATCCAGCATAGACAATAAATTGGGATGCTAAAACACCTTCTGCACAGTGTGCTGCTGTGATAACCCATGAACTTGAGATAATCGATCCACCACAAAGAGACCTATCAGCAATAGAGATTGAGACAGCCCAACCCCATGTACCTGAACTCGCAGCTTCTCCACCAACAATACGATTGACTATTGCAGAATTCATTGAACAACCACATGATGCACTTGCACTACATGTATAAACAGTTTGATGAGTTGATCTGATGATACTAAGTAAAATTAATATAAAAAATTGTAGAATATGACTATATTGTATCATTTTGAATGTTTCAATTGGTCAAATATAAATATCTGAAATGAATTACATGAAACTTATTAATTTGTTGTAGTCAACTGATTTTTATTTTAAATACTTTCATCTTTCTGCTGGAAACCTTTTCAAATTTTCCTTTGCACCACTTTGAAAAAACCTTTACTATATGTATATATGCCTGCTGCATCCTACTGGAACATTTATATGAGTTTGTTCTATTTGTGTTACGTGGATGGTTTGCGTTAATTAACGGATGAAGTTCTAAAAAAGTGCTTCGTCAGGAACAACATTCTGTTTCTTTCGTCTTTGAATATTAATTGATGTTGCTGGGAAGTAGATGAAAAGAAACAGTACTGTAATTGCGAGTCTTTCAATAGTTTTTTTTCAAGAAGAAAGTTTTTTATTTTTATTATGAATACAACAAAAAGCAGAAAAATACTGAATCCAGAGCAAAAAAATACACTTTTCTCTCTAAACCATGAATTTCAAACAAAAATATGAATAAAACGAAGCAAATCCTGATAAGTGAGTGATGAAGAAATATGATTAACAAAAAATATCGGAAGTAAACATAAATTGTTTTTTTCTTTCGGTATTGAGATTTATACCCTTTCAGTGCATAAACTTCCAATGTTTTTGACTTAAGAATATAAGAAATCTACTGAGGTTAGAGTTTCTATAATGAAAAAGAAACGAGTTCGTTTTTAAAATACATTTTTAGAGCAAATCCTTATTAAACAGAGAAGTAATATACTTAGGTCATACCAAAAATAGTGGCGGATGTACGTTAATTCTTTATAAAAATATTTAAAAAGCTTTCTATAGAATCTGATACAGAAAAGAATGCTCTATGTTTCTATAGTATTTGATCGTACTTCAACTAATATCATAATGATCAAGTTTCGATAAGACTTGTCTTTATGATGATATATGCCTGGTAGTACTAGTGCCTATTCCGTGGATATTTTGTTAGATAAATTTTGATACAAACACAATAGAGAACTGCAGTTTTCATCGTTCGAAAGAGGAAATCAAAATGCATCCAGTCATATATTAGAGGCTATCCTAGTCTATAGTCTATTGTTTGTTGAATCAGTTTTCTAAGTGTGGGAAAAACGCCTACTTATAAAAAAAAGATAACTGTAAAAAATTCTTTTATAGAAATTGCCGGAAAAATCACTTAAAACTTCGACTAGAAAACCTATTACTTCTAAATGATCAATTCTAAATCTCTCTGAGCCTTGCACAGTTTTGTAGATCTTCTATCGGCAATTTTAATAAACACCTGACAATAGAGAATTCATTGTAGACACCTCCCGAATAGGTTAGTTTTCAAAAAGGTTGATTGAAAATCTTTAAAAAAGTCACAGAAAAAAACCTTTAATATATGACTCAATGCATCTTGATCTTCTCTTTCGAACGACGAAAACTGTAGTTCTCTATCTTGTTTTTATCAAAAACTATCTAACAAAATATGCACTGAATAGGCACTAGTACTACCAGGCACATGTCATAATAAAGACAAGTCTTATCGAAAGTTGATCATTATGATATTAATTGAAGTATGATCAAATAGCATAAAAAGATAGAACATTTTTTTCTCTATCACATTGTATAGAAAGAAAGTTTCTTAAACCTTTTCATAAAGAATTCAAGTATATTCGCCCTTATTTTTGCTATGATCTAAGTAGTTTGAACAAAATACTATAAGAATGCCAACTGATTAACTATGACATTTTTTTGGTAAATTATATACTTTTGTGGAACTGACGTACGTTTTCTCAGAAAATATAGTGAGTGGAAGTTTAAATCGATGTTTTGCGACTCCTCCTTTCCATTACGAACCTTAACAACCAGGACTAAGAGTGCTGAACAATGTTAATAACAGGGCTTAGAAGGTTTTAGAACATTTCAGAAGCTTCCTTGAAATTGGAATGGATTCAATGTTTTTCTCAATATTCTAAATAACGGAGTTTCTGAGTTTTGCGCAGAAAAACGATTATATGGTAGATATCGAGGACGATGTTTTGACTGTCTACAACTATCATACGATCGATACAAAAACATGATCGAATTAAGCTTTAAGTTTCAGGAATAATCAATGTCAGGCTTACTGAGTTCTCTCGACATACATCATAGATCGTTAAAATCTGCTGTAGATATAACTAATGTGTACAGCAGACTCATTTGCCCATCAAATATATGCCTAGGCTAATCATAATAAATTATGAAAATTTAATAAAAAAAAATACAACGATATCAATGTCATGTTGATAGCAACAAGACAAATAGAAAGAATGTGCTCGTCAAAAAAAGGGAAGCAAAATTTTTGTTGGAAATGTAGAAATAAGAAAGACAACTTTTGCTGACAATCGATTATCATTGAGAAAAAGTATTATCTTTTACAAATTTTACATTTTGTGTATTTTATATTAGTATAATGAAGCTAAGTAAAGCATGTGAGTTGCATATTTCAGTTCCAAAGGGGCAGGGCTAACAAACCTTTTCAATTGATTATACAAGAACAAGACTGTTTGGATTGAATATATTTATCTTTGAAAAACTCTTCATATTTATCACAAAAGACAGATTGCGTTAGAAGAAAAAATAAACGTATCACATGAAACTAATCAATTGATTGGTCAATGCACTCATTAGTATAGATCTTATCAAATGAATATGCATTCATTGAAAATATTAACAAACATGTATTTGCTATCACTAAATTGCTAAAAGATGCATCATTAAAAAAAAACGATTCATTTCTGAATATTCAATGAAATTCTTATTATGAAATAAATCGCTATTGATCTTATATTCGAAAATATATGATACTTTCATGTTTATTAAAAGAAAAAATTAACATAGTTAAAACTTTGACAATCATATCGCAGTATTTATGCATTGTTGTTATCAAAAGTTTCAATGTTTTCACTAAGTACGATTCAAGACATTGAAATAGTAAGTTTTCAATGAAATATCAAAAACTGATGCTAACTACATATCCGAGACGCTCAAGAATATCCACATGGTTTACAGCTGTTTTACAGTAGTGGAAGACACGCATTGGTTGCTGATAGCCACGTACAAGCTGGACTCAGAATCCAACTGGACACGGAATACAGATAAAAACAGCGCAATAGTGTACTGAAAACAAGTATTTTTCGGTGGGTGGAATGTGATTTAATGTTTCCGTCAAGCAAAGTAATAATTCGTTATCAAACAACTGCATAAATATCGAATGCAAGTAATAGCACTGAGTGAGACAAGAATGTACAATTCTGGTGTTTGAACCATTGACGATTATATAATCGTACATTCTAGCCTACCCAATGAGAAAAACACTGGATCGGCTCACTGGGTAGCGATATGTCCCAATAAGGCAGCAACTGCCGTATGAAACTACATGCGTGCGACATAGGAAGCGATCAACGAATAGATTTTCATGGTTCGACTATGTTTCAGACAATCAACGTCACTCTCATAACTATCTATGCCCTGGGGAATTCCAACGGTCAACCACAGACATTCATCATGAAGAAGACATTCTATGCCGGTTTGCAACTAACTGTCATCAAACTATTAATGATCGGTATGCTCTTAGTCAGGGACAAATTCAACGCAACAATTGGCAAAGAACAACACCAGACAAGTAGAACTGTCGTTGATCTATATACAGTCGATCCTGTAAATGATAATGGTCAACGACTAGTCAATTTCTACTCCTCAGATAATCTCGTCATCTCAAATACCTTCTTTCAACACAAAGTAATACACTGAATGACCTGCATGTATTCAAGAAACAAAAACGATATGTGCTGGATAATACCATCGTCAACAAAAAGTTGCGTTCCAATCACGAAGGTGCCCATGTTTATTTAACAGCTGCGACCATAGTCGGTACTGATTGTGACCTCCTTCGAACCAATCTCGGATTTTATCCCAAGAGTTGAAAGAAGTTTAACCAACAACAAGATGTATTTCTTGACAAAAAGAAAGATCCGCAACAATAATCTTATCAACCAATTTTAAGCAAAGTTCTATGAGCCGTCAACTTTCGTTGTGAAAACAATTGATGAAAAATATGCCCAATTTATCGAACACATTAACAAGGCAACTACAGAGACTTTTCAGCAAAGCTACAAGAGCAAGGAACAAAAAGAATGCCTTATGGATGGGATTCTTAAAGTTATCGAACAAGAAGCCAAAGTCTTTCTCGACTAGCAAAACCATTATGATACCAAATTTGAGAGAACATAGTATGATCAATATCGACAACTACGTACTTTAGCAAAGAAAAAAATATATAAGCTAGACAAGTCGAACATAGAGATGAATTAGGTGAAGAAATCGAGAGCACCATCAAGCGCCACGATCTTACAAGTGCCTACGCAATAAATCGACAATTGAAAGGCAGTCTTGCAAATGTCGCGTACCTTTCTGTGCACAACAAGCATTGTCGTCTTCGCATGAATACAATGGATAGGTGCAATACACGAAGAGAGTACTTCAAAGGGCTTCTCAATGTGTTTTCGAGTGCTGATTCAGAGTTCATAGAACACATTCCTCTGCCTGTTATCTTCATCAACTAACAACTGTGCCAAAATAAAATTCATTATTTTGTTGAAATTGAGCAAGCTATAAAACACATGAAAAATGACAAAGCCTCCGATAATGAATAGAGCTGTGCGAACATTGTCAAGGTGAGTGGTATAGCTATGGTGAAATACTTGTGTGAAATTTTCTTCAATATATAGCCAAATGAAGAAATTTTCAAAGATTGAAAAACAGCGATCTTGGTTCGATTTTACAAAAACAAGGAGAACCAAGAGTTGTGCGATAATTATCGTAGTATTTTTCTTCTTGTCGTGAACAGCGAAATATTCTCTTAATCTATTCTCAATCATAGAAAAGTCGTCTCGACAAGCAACTACTGAAGATACAAGTTAGCTGCCGTCGAGTTGTTCCTCAAGCAGTCAATTTTTTTCTTTCAAAATGCTCATGAAAAAAAAATATGCAGCCTCGGGAAATCACTTTTCATGTGCTACATCGACATATGCAGCACATACGATTCGGTTGATCGATCTTTCATCAGGGGCATATGTAGGCAGTATCGGTTGACAGGCAAGATCATTCGGATGATCAAACTGCTCTAAAAAAGTGTCAAGACCAAAGTTTGACTCAACAGCGAACTCTTCGAAAGCTTGGATATCGATAAGGGTGTTTTTCAAAATAGAATTATTTCGTGCATCCTTTTCAACATACTGTTTGACTTTATCCTGCCTCAAACCATCTAACAGACAAGTATTATGGGTGCATTTGGTATCAAGTTGACCTATGGCAGTACTGACTTCTTTCACACCAGAGACTAACGGGACAATGAGAAACTGTCCCGTCAAGGCCCGCCCGAAGTTGTCCGTAGACTGTCTCCCGTCCCGTCCCGCATCCCGTCAAGATTTTTTCAGCCCCGTCCCGGCTAATTCCGCGATCATCTTTTCGCCAAAAGGTCAATGTCATACATATATGTTGATTTATTTCACAACAGAAAAGTATTGTTGAGCAAAAAATATCTACATGAGGAAATGAAGTACAATAAATGAACACACATATATTCACAAGAAACTGGGATATAAGAATAGAAACCATAATATCCAAGAATAGTTACAAATTTAGATTAATCGCAACGATGTACAAATACGAATTGAAAAGAATAATTTTCAAGATTAACAAATGTGACGAAATGAGACACAATGAACAATTACATGCATACATAATTATATATACATTGCATTTTTTATGTCAGACGAATTATATTATGGTCGTTGTCTCATCCATCTGCCATCGTTCATCTCATTCTGATCGAATTGACCGTCACTATTGTTCTTTTTCTGATCCAATGCCCGTTTACATAAGAGTCGCTCGCTATGATGATTATTCTTCTACTCTTGCGACATAAAATCAATCGCTATTGTAATGCACTAAATGGACGGCTATTTTTACTTTTTGTTTCATTGACAGGAGTAAGCGGGAGAAGCATTGAATCCCATCAGCCCGTGACTTTTTGCCCTGCGTCTCGTCTCGTCCCGTCCTACTTATTTTTTTCTCTCCCGTTCCAGAACGAGACGAGGCGAGACGAGACGAGACGGGACGGGATTGGTCCCGTATCCCATCACTCTCTGTGTCACACCAACAGTTACAGGTGTGAAGATTTTAATCTATTGGTCATCTTCTGTGCCAAAGATTAGCTAGCAATGTGAGACAATTCTGTTGACCTCGAGTTATTCATACATAGTTTTGAAGAATTCACTCTAGAACTCGACTTGACAATCAGCATCAAGAAAACATGCATCATGCCGCTCAAATAGCTCAATGAAGACGTAACATGAAGAATTTTAAAAGGGTAAGAAGTTGATAGACTAGACATAGGCATCAACATCCGAAATAAAAACATCGAAAACGTTGACGAAATTCGTCATTTTGACTACTTGGTAACTCAAGATCAGTCGATCGAAAAAGAAACCGAAACAGGACTGTTCAGAATCTTAACAGCTTGCAATGTGCCTTAGCATGTGATTTTGTATTTAAAAGCGGTCTCAATGCCCGCCAAACTTCGGATATTTTGTGCCTATATCGTTTCAGTCCTCCTCTATGGTAACAAAGTGTTGTCAACAACTTTTGGACAAGAATAACGACTCAATACTTTCTACGTGAAATTCCTGTGAACAATTATTGATACTAATTTGGATGATTATAGACCGATCGATATATTGCTAGAAATCACTAAACAACATCATCTCGCCAAAATTCTCTGCAGAAATTGAGTGAGATACTTCCCTATGGAAAATCTTTGATGTTTCAGCCCCGGATCCTTGGAAGATAGGATCAAGATCCTGCAAGGATTCGATGTTTTTTCCTGAGGAAACGACTAAATCCTGAAAGAAGCGTGTAGCCACGGAATTGCAGGATCCTGTCAAGATTTAAAACAAGTTTATCAAGGATCCTGGCAAGTTTATCACTGTTTTTGAACCAGGATTAAGCCAGGAAATCGATGATTCCTGANCCCATATCACTACTCTTCTGACCGACCAATACCCATTGATTGCTTGCATTAAACATCATCAATGGACCACCTGAATCACCTTGGCAAGTATCTACAAGAAAATGAAAATAAAAGGCACATACATAAAGAGAGAGAGAGACAATCAAATAAAGTTACCTTTACCACCACCTGATACACCAGCACAAAATTGTACATGCCAATCAGTCATCGTTCTATTACAAGTCGATGCTCGATAATCTACTGTTTGCACGGTAACTTGCTGAAGTGTTGATGGTAATGAACCCCCCTCGTTCAATGTACCCCATCCAACAGCTACAACCTAATAAAAAATATTCCAGATCAATTTTGAAGACGAGAAAACACTTACATTTGTTCCAACTGATGGCCATTCACCAGCTGATAATGTTGTCTGACTAACTGATGGTAAACAAATTGAACTCACATATGGATCACTCATATCCAACGGAGAGGAAAATTTTAATAGAGCAATATCATTCACATAGACACTCGAATTATATCTCGGATGTACAAGAATTTTTGATACAGTTCGAGTTTGAGTACCAGACCATCGAGTATTTGATCCAGCATAAATAGTAACTTGTGATGCCACTCGATTATGTACACAATGTGCTGCTGTGATAACCCATGAACTTGAGATAATCGATCCACCACAAAGATAAGTATTAGCAATAGAGATTGAGACAGCCCAACCCCATGTACCTGAACTCGCAGCTTCTCCACCAACAATGCGACTTACTGTTGCAGAATTCGTTGAACAACCACATGATACACTTGAACTACATGTATAAACAGTTTGATGAGTTGATCTGATGATAATAAGTAAAATTAATATAAAAAACCGTAGAATATGATCATATTGTATCATTTTAAATGTTTCAATTGATCAAATATAAAAACCTGAAATGAATTATATTCAACTTATCAATTTAATGTAGTCAACTGATTTTTATTATAAATATTTTGATCGTTTTGTTACTAACCTTTTCAAAGCTTTATTTACTTCACTTTGAAAAAAAACCTTCGCTATTTCTACATTCTCCAGTTACTTCCTACTGAAAAATTCGTATGATTAAGTTCTGTTTGTTTTATGTGGGTGTTTTGAGTCATGTAACGAGTGACACCCGAAAAGCGTGCGTCGTTCTGAACAACGTTCTGTTTCTTTCGTCTTTAAGCTTTGATTGATACTGCTGCGAAGTAGACAAAGAAAAGCAGCATCACGATTACGACCCTTTCCACCATTTTCTTCGAAAAATGAATTTTTTTATTTCTATTGTGGATAGAAAAAAAAATAAAGAATTGCTGCATCTATCGCATGAAAACACTTTTCCCTCTACAGCATGAATTTCAAACCAAACATTTGTATGAATGCAGCAAGAATTTTATAAGCTAGACATAAAGAAACATCGTTAATAAAACAATATGAAAAGTAAACAAATTTTTTCTCTTCTTTTATTATTTAGATTTCCATCCTTTACGGTAAATAAAATTTGAATATTTTCCAAAGTTAAATACGGGAAATCTAATGAAGTTATAATTTCTATAACATGAAAGAAACGATTTCGGTTTTAAAATGTACCTGCATATCAGATTATTATTCAACAGAGGACCAATATAGTTTAAACGAAAAAAATATATGAAAGTCAACTGATTAATTCAAACATTTTCTTTGTAAGTTTGATACTTTTTCTAATGGATCATACAAAAACAAGACTTTTTTCTATTACATAATTTTATTTAAAAAAATCTTCTGATAATAATCAAATATGATAAATTGTATTAGAAACAAAACAAACATATAAAATGTAACTAATCAATTGATTGATCAATGTACTCATCAGTAGACCTTATCAATGAATATTCATTCATGAAAAAAATAAACAAACACGTATTTGCTATTGATAGGTTGCTAAAAGATGTATCATTACAAGAATTAGCAATAAAAAGAATCATTTTCAAAAACTTGATGAAATTCTTATCATTAAATAAATCATTGTTGTTGTTATATAGCATAATATGCAATATTTGTATGTTTTAATAGAAGAACAACTTAACATAATTACTGCTTTTACAATCCCATCTCACAGTGCTCGTGCATTTTCGTTATCAAAAGTTTAGATATTTCCAGTAAGTACGACTTAATACATTCGGACAGTAGATTTTGAATGAAATATTTATAACCGTTATATAATTAATAAATTAAAATGATTATCAATGAGCTAGATGTTTCTTCATTCTTCTAAGTATCAACTCATAAGATCATACACAAGAGAAATAACGATAATGTAAAAGACTGAAGCTATTTAATATGACACATAGGACATATTTCACCAAAAAATGGCTTATGAATACTTTCATTATTTAAATTTCAAAAAGAAAAAGACAACAGAAAGAGAAAACATTAAAAATAAAATAAAAAGAACATTCTGAATAGAAGTGTTTTCGAAGTACACAAAATAAAAATAAATTAAGCCAAGTTTCATTTTCATTCAGGAGTGTAATTTAACAAAAAAGAAAGCCATACGAAAAATAATAAACTATAAATTGATGATTTCATTGAATGTGCATGTGAAAGTATCACGAACCAATAAGAGTCATTTATATTTGATCTTATCCAACTTTCATAAGCAGCTACACGAGTATACATTCCCGAATATGCAGCTCGTGCACAACCAATACCACTACTCGTCAGACCGACCAATACCCATTGATTGCTTTCATTAAACATCATCAATGGACCACCTGAATCACCTTGACAAGTATCTACAAGAAAATGAAAATAAAAGGCACATGCATCAAGAGAGAGAGAGACAATCAAATAAAGTTACCTTTACCACCACCTGATACACCAGCACAAAATTGTACATGCCAATCAGTCATCGTTTTATTACAAGTCGATGCTCGATAATCTACTGTTTGCACGGTAACTTGCTGAAGTGTTGATGGTAA